CAAAATCTTCCACGCATGATACTGTTTTTCGATGCCGAGATGGACCCCCCATTTTGCTCGTTCAGAAAATTTGCCGAGAGCTGCAGTTGGATGACGAAACTGTACAACACACCCGAAAACTCGTAAAAGTTTTGTGCTTCCAACGGTACGCGTCCACTGCAGGTGCGGAGAAGAAAACTCGGGCAGGGACGTTGAAGAAAGAAGATTGTGTAACAGCACAGCGTGGTCCATCGCATACGGCCAAAAATGCGGTGGAAGAGCTGCCTGCGTCAGCAGAGCACGCATCTTCTCTTGCAGTGTTCTGTTCATCCTTTCTGCTACCCCCATCTCTTGGTGCGTATGTGGCAGTGACTGCTTTCGTTTGATGCCGAGTGTCTGAAGGTAGTCTCCCCTGCACCATCGCTCTGAAATTCTTGCAGTTTTACTCCTGACTCTCGTTCAGCGACAGCGAGCCACGCGATGAAGACGGAGTGAGCGAGATGGCGTGCAGGTAAGTTAGCTGTCCAGACATAGCGTGTAGACGCTTCGATGAAGGTTATCACATACCTCTCGTCTTTAGGTCCTGCTTCAGACAAGTTGAGTATGTCGCTGTAGACTTTCTGCATCAGTTGATAACGGGTTGAGCCGGGAAAATGGCTTGGAAAAGGATCGTGCGTAAGGTTGGCAACTGGACAGGTGGTGCAAACCGTCGGACGAGACTGTGGTTTCATCTCCGTGCCATCAGGTAAAAGTAAACTGTTTTTATCAAGAACTGCTGCTCGGATTGAATGATTTAGAATCCCTTGTGATGGATGCCCTAACCTTTGATGCCATATATCTTCTGTGGCTTTGTGTCCTGATGATCGCAGATAGAAATCGAAGTTAGTATAAAAAGAAGAAAGAAGAAAAGGAGAAAGTGCTGGTGACTTGTCCAGTTCCCCTTCAACGAAACGGTTAAGAGGTAACGTGACATGTGTTGGTGCTGCTGCAGTTGCGAGGATAACCCCCGATACTGCTTCTGTTGATGTTGTGACAGGTATTTCGGCGACAGCTTCTGTTGGACTCGGCTGCTCAGCTACTGCTTCCTGTTCTGCTGCTTCAACGACGCCAGGTTCATCAGCTGCAAGACCACTTATCTCTCCCCAAAGTGGTGCTGGAGTTCCTTGGAAGGCTGCTCGGGTATTATAAAACGTTCGCCACGCGTTGGCACTTTCATCAGCGGTGTTGAATTCCCAGGTATCCAACGCGGTAAGTACGGCGGCTGCTGTTCGAGAAGCTGATGGTACCGAAGTTGCTCGAAAGTCAATATCCACGTTTTGATAATCTGTTTCTTCGGGTTGATCCCAGGGACCAAGTGCAAGGACACGTTCAGAATCGCCAGAAGTTCCTTGTGCTGCGAACTGAAGTACTGATACGCCATGTTGAGTGGCGGCACAACCAAGGTAGGTATTAGTTGTACTGTGCCAGAGCTCTTGATCCATCGTCTCACAATTTCCTTGTGTGCGGATTTTGTGCGCCAGGAGTTGAGCTGTGGAAAGAAGGTTGAAACCAAGACCAGCGACGATAAGAACGTTCGTAACATGAAGTGAGTATCCCGTGTCGATAGATTCGAGCATGACACTGCCAACTGATCGTGCCATTATTGTTTGTCCTTTGGCGACTGTGACAGGTATGGGACGACGAAGCGGACGCTGATTCGTGATGAAGCTTGTTTCGGTAGAACACATATGCCATCCGCAGCAGCTGTCGAGATACCAGGTATTTGGTCCTGAAATTATGCGAGCAAGATTAGCATAAACTTGAGGTAAAGGAATGCCTTCAGCACTTGTTGTTTCTTCAAGTCGGGTTTCTAAATCTGTTTCGGAAACATCAACTGTTGTAACACATCCAAAAACTCCTTTTCCTGATGTGGCAGATGCGAAGACCGGCGGGCGCTGCTGCGACGTTGATGAACTCTGCGGCGATTTCGCCATCTGCTGCTGCTGAGACGTTAACTGCTGCTGTGGCGGTTGTGTCTTCGGTGCCTGCTGCGATCGGTGATACGGCTGCGAAGTGCTGCGACAATTTTGATGACGGCTGCGACAGTTTTGGTAAGTATGTCCTGGTTTCTTACAGAAATGGCAGAACGGATACTTTGGTGGATGTCGATGCTGTGTTTCTGGATTGGAGTAAAAACTTAAATGAACCTCCTTTTTCTGGTTGCGTTGTGACTGCAGGTCAAGATCTTGCTGCTCGGCTTGAAGATAAGAAGAAATTTCAGCTTCGGAGAGGTTGGGATTCATGCGCAGGAAGGCGCGCGTCTGTCGCCATTCGGGTCCAAGACCAGTCAGAAGGACTGTGAGATACATCTCACGAGGGAAGTATCCCCCACTTTTTTCCAGTTGATCACGTAGTGTACGGACACGGTTAACGTAGTCCATGACGTTTTCGTTTGTCATCATCTGCACACTTGTCAGCTGCGAAAGTATTTTACTCACTGTTATCGTATCCTTTGCCATGTATACCCCTTTCAGATGGTTCCATGCAGTTTCGGCTGGTGTAAAACTTGAGTGAAACGATCGAACGCCGAGCTGCTCCTTCGGCGTTAAGTTCCGTACAAGAACTGTATACGCCCCGAGAGAGGCGTGCAAGAAACTCTGCTGCTCCAGTTGTGTTCCCGTAACAGGATAGGTGAATTCTCCGGTGAAGAACGGCCAAAGCCCAGCGGACTGTGCCAGAAGCTCAAACTCGAAGCTCCATGAGTAAAAATCCACTCCATTAAAAGGTTCGGTTGTCTTGATATGAGTATTGTTAAGTAGATTTGGAGGCTGAAAAACAAAGCATGGCTGTTGCTGTTGTTGCTGTTGCTGTTGTTGCGGTTGCTGTTGCTGTGGTTGCTGTACTTGTGGTTGCTGATATTGCTGTTCCTGTACTTGCTGTGGTTGCTGAGCAGGAGAACGACCGAAGATATAAAAGGGATGTTGAAACTGCTGCAACTGCGGCTGCTGTACGAAAGGTGAGAAAGCAAACGAACCAGTATTTGGAGCTGTTGCTCCACGCATGTAACTTGAGCCGTCAAGGCTCATTCCACTGAACGCAGATTAAATAGATTGCGTTGAGACTGGTGGCTGTACTGATGCTTGTTGCTGTGCTGTTGTCTGTGACTGTTGCTGTTGCGTTGCAGGTGCAGTCGATGGAGCACCTGGAGTATTCACATAAGGCGGATTTTGCATACCGATATTAGCATAGGCTGGTGGAAAATGCCCAGAGGCTGAGAGACCAGCGGCGGTAGTGGAGGCATGTGCTCCAGTAGTCCCAGTAACTGATCCAGCAGATGGTGCTGGTGTTGGACCAGTCATAGTTGACGGTAGTCTTAATTCCAGATAGCTCTCATACCATGAAGTAAATCGACTGGTGTTGTAATAGACTAAGTATAAAACTATAAACACGAACACTTGGCAAATCCTCAAGTGTTGGTCCAGGATCTTTGCTGGAATGGTAGACTAGTAAGACAGCGGAAGTCTTGTAAAATGTAAAGGTCAAGGTTGAATAACCTGAGTACGTGAACTTGTGGGTAATCAAATTTAACAATCAAAACGACCTGACCGAGATTTATAGTTCTACGAAAAAATACCTATTCGCTAATATACCTGTTCGTCACTATCGCGCTATGCGCCCTAGATGATATTGACGAGGTGCGACTGTTCGCGTGACTGAAACGACTGTCCTATGGCGAGCGCTATTTGCTGACGTCATCCTACGGACTTATGTTCTACAGTAAGATTCGACACTAACTACACTTAATCGACTTACAGAAATGCTAAGTACCAATTATATCACAACACTTTCAACATTCCTCCAATCAGCAAGCTCGACCAGAATTTGTTTCGACGCACTTTTCTTGTTCAGGCTTGAACTCAAAGCTACCTTCCATTCTTTACTTAGACGGATTTCAAAGCACCAAATTCAAGTGGTTTCCAGGTCTGCTATTTTAGCCACGGGCTTTAAGCGTTTCTGAAGTGTAACACTACACTCGAAGAAATGCCGTATCGAGTACGCAAGTCAACGGAGGTTACACGAGGGGGTTGGACGAAAGAACACGAAAGGACGAAGAGACTCGAAGGGTTGCAACCGGAGGTTGCGACCGACCGATGCGACTGCAAGGATGGTAACCGAACTAACGATCGAGTCGCTGTGCAATTGATAACCGTTTTTTCAACTGTATTCTACAACTGCTCTATTTCCTATTCTCTATATATTCCTGTATGCTTGCTTCTTTTGATCAATCACTTGCTCTCACATACTAGTGTAAGGGTTCAACTACTCAACACTTCCGCTGCACTACTCAAGTATCTTGTACAAGTGGACTTAGTCTCTGGAAAAATCCTAAGGGCTATTTTCTCAAGCCCAACACTCATCAATATAAATAGTTTACTAGAATTGATGCGAACTAAGATTGGAGTAAAGCCGCCAAAAATGACGTACAGAAGAATGCCAACCAGACCAGACCCTTAAACTTTATCAATACAAGAGCCTACACTGAAACTGCTTGATGAATTTATCAAGATGCTAGGGAGTTTCTGCGGAATTGACCAGGCTCTCCCCCCAGAATCTTGTTCAGAACATGTGCCTTCCTCCACCAACCACCCTAGGAAACGTGTGCTCGACCATCGGGGATGTACGTGTACGTGGCACTTTGCTGGCTTCCTAGGGGTGGGTCCAAATCCAGCGTCACTTTCGACATTCACCGTCGAAATTCCGCTTTTTGAGCTGTCAGTCAGATCGATCTGCACCGACGTGGAAGGGTCCAGCCTGAACCTTCCGTCAGCACCTCGCACAGCCTTCCATCTCCCTTCGTCCCACGCGTTTGCTTGTCATCTCGGCATCGACGCGCTATGGCGGCGTGGCAGATCAGACCAACCCCCACCCCTCACAGGGCATCAACTCCGCGGAGATTCCGCGTGAAGATCGGCGGTGGTCCCCACTCCCACCCCACCTCACCACACCACGCCTCGTCCACCTGCCCGCCTCCAAACAGGAGTCTCCTCTCCGCTCTGCACCTCACAGTGGTGGAATTGTACTCCTGCACTCTAAGTCAACCGAAAATCACAGACCACTTCTCCAACGGGATACTACATAGACTTCGTGCGAGCTTCATTACCAGTCAATTATCTCACCAACTTGTCCACTTAGTCTCCTCAATCGTCGATATCTGCTGCTCTCCGTCCTGCCACCTCTGCTCTGTTCTGCGCTTTCCCCAGTCTTTCACTCCTGATCAGTTCACATCGAATCGGAATATCACGATCATGGCGGAGACACAGGACGTCACGATGCTCTTCGTTCACATGAGCAATCGCAGCCTGGCAGAAACGACGTCTTCATCGCAGCAGATGTCGTCGTCAATGAGACGGAATTTCCAGACCTCAGACGAATCATCGTCCTCATCGAATGAGAGCAGCCACTTCCAAATGGCCGTGAATTCAATGGCTTGTCGCGTTGATACTGCTCGCCGCAGCATGCTCGGCGACTCATGGTGGATATCAGCTTGAAGGACCATCTGCTAATTGATATTGCACCATGGCGCCACTGGTGGCCTGAAGCTCCGGCAGTTGGTGGACCGGATACTGGTTCGCGCGAAAACCGTGGCTGCTTGATGCCCGTTTTTATTCTGGACGCTGCCTCCTGTGCAGTGGCGGGGTGTGTTTCCGTTGTACATTCGTTTCTGCGCTTCCACCCGCCACATGGGTGGGGCAGTGTACAGGCAATGGCCTCAAAGGCTTTTGCAAGATAATTTTGTCACTTTTGCAGAAGTTGTACATGCGCTGTTTATATGTCCGTTGATGTGAAGAGAACTGATTGATATTGTAGTACAAATGAATACTAATACAAGTGTTTGGAAAATTACTGTTAGGTAATGTTGCTGTACACATCATTAGTGACTTATTTCCGTAAGAATTGGAACAATTCTAATACACCATGAACCATTGAGAGACACGTAGGAAGGTTTCGAATCATAGAACGGCTCCTTACTGACATTAGTATGTACACAATGCTGTGACAAAAGCTAATGCTGATTTCAGCACAATTCTATACGGAGGTGTAAGAAGATACTTGTGCATGCTCCACAAACAATCCATCGTCGTGAGCATCAGAGCTGGTGTCAAGTCATGACTCGTCTGAGCCAGTGTCATCTGAGTCATCCAGAGGGACCTCATAGCGGGGAGCATTGTACTTGTCTCTCAGAGGCTTGCACGGGATGAAGTCACCTCGAGAATCAGCTCCATAAAATAGAAGATACAGATATGGGTGGATCATTTGCTCCTGCAGAGGAATGTGATACAATCAAAGACATTAGCCCAGGAAACAGAGATGGTACACGAGGGAGCCACACGCGGAGGTAATCCAGGCGAAGTAAAAAGTAGCGGAAGCAGGAGAGAAGCGAGGTGGAATGGAGGAACGGAGAAGCGGGGGTGAGGAAGGGAGGGGAGGGGGGGGAAGTGGGGGAACAAAAACAATCAAGGAGAGGCGAGAGCGAAGGATAAACAAATGGCAGCAAGTATTACCTTATCAGGCTCCACAGGAATGTCAAGGAGGTCCTCCGCAACTGCCAGCCAAACAGCCAGACACGCAGTTTTAGTATGCACAGCTGAGAGCCAGACTGCGAGCTGAGAGTTAGCTGTAATAAATACTACTTTTGTACATTCATGGCACCCCTAGTGAGACTCATGCACAAGTGAATCCACGTACCATAAGCAACAGGGAAGCGTGCTCCATTGCCCAAGTCAAGTAGAATCTGCAGAAAGGGAGAAATGAAACAAAGTTACACTCCAATGCTGCTCACATGCACACAGCATACATTGCAAGCCAGCGGAATCTAGAGCGTGGTAGCAGCTACATTACTGCGAATGAGCAGTCAGACCCACCTGGTAGAAGGGCTGGTTGGGACCCCGTGAGAGCCGGCTGATTTGAGCACCTGACATCCACTCTTCTGTCTCACAGCACATGGGGTCCATCCCCGCCACTATGCCCCGGTAGCCTGGGCGAAAAAGGAGCACATGGCGTGGAGGATGAGGGGATTCAGCTCCAAACATATCGACGATATGATATGAGTTACAAAAACGGGAGCCTAGCTTAGCAGAACGGGAGGCACTGGGAGCAATCTGACCATGCAATCACAGTTGAGAAAACTGGTACCTGTGATGCAGATAAAACAGGGATGTAGACAAGAGCGACTCACCAAATTCCTTGTGAGTGATTTTCTGCCCTAGCCTGAACTTATAAATAACATTGCCCATAGCCAATGCTGCAGCAGACGCTGCCAACGTGTCACCCTGCGCAACGAAGGGAACGTCACTCAGTGAAAAACCAGGTCGTTACGTACAAATGCTACGCACCAATCTCCTGGTCACCCCAATGTGGCTAGCACTGCGAAATGAAGGGAACGACACTCAGTGAAAAACCAGGTTATTGCGTACAAATGCTACGCATCAATCTCCTGGCCCGTTACCACCCCAATGTGGCTAGCACTGCGACATCACGGGGATGACACATGCCTGATCACCCCAGGCCAGGACGCACCTCTAATTTGCTCATTTTCTTTCTGATCTCAGCTGCTTCCTCGTATAGCTCCTGCTCCACTGCCCGCTGCAGCCCTGCCCTGCCATTCACATCCAACACCCACATATCCATTAGAATTTAGAGGATAATGATGCCTACAGAAGTGAGCTTTGTCAAGGAATCCGTGTTTGAATTGCATGATATGACAGAGAAACACTTTTTAGTCGAGTCAAAAGTCGTCTTTGTAAAGGAATCCGTGTTTGAATTGCATGATATGACAGAGAAACACTTTTTAGACGAGTCAAAAATCGTTTTTGTAAAAGGAATCCGTGTTTGAATTGCATTCAATGACAGAGAATCTTACTTGAGGCGTAACAGCGCCAGGCCTTTGTCCTGAGCCTCTTCCTTGGACGACGTTCCCATCTTGGCTTCCCTCTGCCGCGCTATTTCACGATCAAGCTGCCACGGCAAGATAACAGGAGCGTGAAACGGCCGAGAGTGAGAACCAATCCCGGAAAAGTCGACTCACGAGTCACGACCTCTCACTTGCATTGTACGTTAGAGCCACTCCCATCCAGCGGCTTACCTCCGCTTTTGAGGCGCCTAAAAAAAAGTCCAGCGGCTTACCTCCGCGATCTTCTCTCGCAGGAGCTGAGCTGGTTCGTACTGGTCCAAGTTGAGCGCTTTCTGCGGAAAGAGCAAGGAGGATCAGATGGCCTCAGTATGGGTGAGCGAATCTGTCGTTGATCTTGTGGAATGGAACTTGCAGTCTGGCAAGAAGCTGTGATAGGTTTTTGAGAATTCTCATAAAATCTATCACAGTCTGGGTGAGAGAATCTGCCATTGACCTCGTGGATTGGTTGGACTCCGCAGTCTGGCAAGACGCTGCTAGCAAAAAACGCGCTTCATTGATGACTTACAGTTCACATCCGCCTCACCTGGAGCCGGGTGTTCAAATCGAGCTGGTAGAAGAAGAGCAGGAGCTCCTCATTCGCCATGGAGCTGTGCTCCACCGACGGATCTATACCGGAATTCCCGCTGCTAGCTGACGCTCTTGTAACCGTCCGATGACGACGCGAACCGGGTGACATTAAACGATGTGACACTGCACCGGAAGGACTCCGATGTCCCTGGAGTGGATCGTGCGTACAGTCCACGAGTGTTCGCGCGGGACATTGGCGTAGCGATCGCGAGGGGGTGAGCTGTAGTCGCTGGGGAGCGGGCGACGCGAATGCTTCACGACGGTTGCGACGATGGCGAGAGGCTGTGAGCGCTAAATGGGAAGGCTGGACATGCCTTACGCCGCGAGATTGCGAGGCGTCGCTAGCTACGGACTGGTGTGTGTTTGGCACGATCCATGAATGGCGACTGACGGACGGGGAAGAGCAAATGGAAGCCATTGAACGGAACTGGCATAAAGAAAGCTGTCAGTAGCGAGCGGCTTGTAAGGGATAGCACAACGTTTGTTCACGATTTGAAATACGTCTCGAGTCTGCTAAAGCGTTCTGCCGTATCCTTCTCCTTTCAGTTCCCTGTTCTAGCCATGGCTGCCTTCGGGATTTGGACCAGAATTACAGCAGGAGAGACCAATGACAGATTGTATTGAAGGCCTCGGTAGGATCACGTGATTTCCAGACTGGACACGTGGGAGTCGGAGATTTGGACACGCCCTTTCTTCACATAATCAAAAATAACATTTCACCTGCGTATAAAATGTTATGTCTCGTTTCTGAACATTTGTTTTTGAAAGAGAAGTTCGCGGTTGAGTGTGGCGGGGATACCCAAGTCTCCCTGAATTTTTGCGTAGCGCGATGGCTACGATTGGGTGGAAGACTTCGCGCCAAATCTGAGCCACAATCCCGTGAACCCGAAAATCGGCAATAGGATGCCTTTTCGTGGAAGTTCAGCTTCCCCAAACTTGATTTGCCTCGCCTGATCATCCCGAGGCAGTCACTGTCAGTCTTCAGCGAGTCAGGCAGTGGCAGACACAACCTCCCCTTGGTCGGCCGACTTTTCCAGTCTTTGTTTTTTTCTGTTCAGAGCTCATTCTGCTGCAGCTAGTAGCTATCACAGTTTTTGTGGCTCAGAAATTGCAGCCATGGCTGAAGCTCCTGCAGCAGAAGGCACCATGAAGTGGGTGATCAAGACAGCAGATGCTGTGCCTGCTTCGGAAGGGGTTCTTTCCAAAGGTGAATTGCCATGGCCAGATGATCAACGGGTTTAGGAATCGCCTTTGGACGAATTTTAAGCAGATCAAATGAGTGTTTTTTTCTTTAAGTCGCAAATGTTGATTGATTTCTTGGTTCGGTGCAGGACCGACGTATAAGAGTTCTTACGCTAAGGATGGTTACGCGGCCTTGGAAGGAATCACTACCGTCTGGGAGCTTTTCGAGTACGTCTCAAGCCTCTGGATGATGTGTTCTGTTCACTACCTGAAGTAACCGTCCGATTGCTTCTGTATTACGCCTTCAGCGCCACGATTTTTCGCGTCAGCCGTCTTCCTTTTTCGATCCGTTCAGTCCCCTTGTACGAAAACCTAACCGGCGGATTGTGATGATTTCAGCAACTCCGTCAAGAAGTTCGCGAAGAACAAGTTCCTCGGAAAGCGATCGGTCGTCAACGGCGTGGTGAGCTGCTAACTCGTCTGATTAAATCAACAACTTTTATCGCGTTACCTAGTTGCTCTCTTGTGTCAGCGAGTTCTGCAGACGACAGCACGTTCTCTAGGCCCGCTTATTTTATTGCCGTTCCTGGCAATTTTCACATTTTCGTGTAATTCATGATTCACGGGAACCTCTGTCCAGGCGGGTCCCTATGAATGGCAAACATACGAGGAGGTTGGCGCTAAGGTCAAGAAGATCGCGTCCGCGTTTCAATTCAATGGTCTCAAGCCGGTAAGATGTTCCCTCTCTCATCTAGTGCTCAGTATTCTCTTGTTCACGTAAAACCTCCTGTAATCTCGGTCTCACTGACTATCCTTGGATTCAGCAACTCATCTGCATCTTGGATTCGGTCTGTGCAGCAAAGCCGTGTTGGCATCTATGGGATCAACTCGCCAGAGTGGTTTATGACCATGGAAGTACGTACGGCTGCTTATCACAAGCATCTAATCTACGAAGCGTTGCGCTTTCATTTTACTAGTCTGACATCCCGTGCTGGTTTCCGGGTCCGCAATTTCGTACGCCGTGCACTGTATCATTGCTGATGCTGTGCCACGAGCTACTGTTTTGTTTGCAGGCATGTAACAGCCAGTCCATCCACTGTGTGCCGCTCTATGACACCCTTGGTACGTGGCCAGTTCAAGCTTCCGTAACAGCTTGGAAGCAAACCCATGCGTTTTTCCTGCAGCATTTCTCCTCCCACGTACCCTCACATATCTACACCTCCCTGTTTTCTGTCCCCTCGCGTTCTCCCTCCCTGTCCTGATGTCAGGTCCTGAGGCGGTGGAGTTCATTCTGAACCATGCTGAGGTGTCTCTGGTTGCTGTCATGCCTGCAAATCTCGCTGCGGTGAGTTTTCATAATCCACTGCGACCTAATTAGCTGGAGGGTGATGCCGTCTGCTACTGAATCCTGGTGTCAGTCAGCCGTTTTGTTATTTTCAGGTTGGGATGCTTTGTGGGATAATCACAAAGCATTCAGCATTGCCTCCAAACCTTTGCCATGTGCTTAAACTAGCCCTTCAGTGATTCACTTATGCTTATCATTTGTGGCTTTCGGATCCCGCTCCATGGACCTCTTGCCCATTGCAGCTTCTCAAGAGTCTTCCCAAGTGCACTGAATTTGTAAGGAGTAAGTGAAGATTTCTAACGGAGAGTGAAGGTCCAAATCAATTGTGCAGGTTCTTATCCGAGTGTGCAGGTTCTCTTGAAAGTTATGTGCCTTAAACACACCCTGCAGTTACCCTCTTTCAGCATGCTCCCTTCCAAAATTGCATTTTCACCCTCTGGTTCTGTGTCAATGCTTCCCTCCGTTATCCCTTGGCAGCTGTTGTGAGCATGGGAGCTATAGACGAGGAGTCAGCCAAGGCGCTTAGCGACCTCGGGATCAAGGCGCTCTCATGGGACGACATTCTTAAGGAGGTATTACCCCATGCGCCTATTTCTAGGCCTCTAACACCCCCTGGAACATACCTAGAGTAGCCTAAACTAACTCATTGATGCACACAGCTAGACCTGTAGGAAGTGAAATGGTCCTTGAGGACCGCCTAAAATAACGAAATGCTGAGCGTGGCAGAAAGGAGAGACCCACTCATATATGGAGCTGCAAACGCAGAGCACACTCAATGCCGGAGCTATGCACTCACCATCACCATCTCGTACCCCATTCTGGACCTTTCAGGGCGAGGCGAACCCTGCGGAGCCCATCCCTCCAAAGCCAGAAGACATCTGCACGATCATGTACACTTCAGGTACTTGAGGCACCAGCATGTACACTTCAGGTACTTGAGGCACGATCGTGTACGTTCAGGTATTTGCAGAACATGACAGTTACGTTACCTTTGCCTCAGCTCTGTTGCCATCTAATCCATTAGAGCCAGGTGACTGCCGAGTCAAAACCCTAGTTGCTCCCTCTCTCTCCTAGACTTCCTAACCCCCTTCACCCCTCCCCTTCCCTTCCTCCCTCTTCCCCTCTCCCCTTCTCCACCTTCCCCACCTCGCCCCTCCACACCCCAGGCACAACCGGAGAGCCCAAGGGAGTGCTTCTCACTCATAAGTCGTTGCTTGCCGCCATTGCTGGAAATAAGGAGTTTGTTGCTTACAACAACATCAACGTAAGGCTCTGCAACTGCAGCTTTCTATGAAGTAAACACAATGCCAGGATCATCACGAAACTGCATCATTTTGAAGGTTTTTCTGCCCGTACAGGTCTGTAGGGCAATATCAGACTTGAGGGAGTGAATTTCACCTGCCATCATTCTGCCCAATTTCGTCCCCAAATCCTGTTTTCCCGTCTTCTCCCCTCTTCTCCCCTTATCTCCCCCACAGTTCGACCAAGACGAGATGTACCTCTCCTATCTGCCCCTCGCTCACATTTTCGACCGTTCAGCAGAGGAGCTGATCACCTACTACGGTGGCGCCATTGGCTTCTGGCGCGGGGTAAGTACCCGCAAGATTGCAGTGTAACTCCCAATCTCAGTGCGTGTGAGGAGCTAATCACCTATTTCGGTGGTGCCATTGGCTTCTGGTGAGGGGTAAGCCTTGATTTATGAGCATTCAGGGTAAGTTCCCCCACCTACTGAACTATTTCTTTGCCATTTCTGAGACCCCCTGTGCTCTGTGTGGCTGTCATCTTGTGTGCCTGCCGCGTGTATTCAAGTCTGTCTATTGCTGGATGGTGTTTGATCCCACAATCAAATCGAGGCCAGTCTTCTAACCATGTCCCTCTCTGTCTTGCTGTACCCTGTGTCTTTCTTCCCCCCTTTTCCAGTACGTCTAGTTGCGCTCTAAGGACATCTGCTTTAGTCAACTCAGAAGCACGTTCCTGCTGTGTCCGCCTGTCCTTCTCCCCCCCCTCTCCCCTTCCTCTCCAGGACGTCAAGCTGCTCACAGAGGACATTGCGGAGCTCAAGCCCACCTTCTTCTGCGGCGTCCCTCGCATCTTCGACCGCATCTACGCTGGTCAGCCTCTCCTCCCTCCCCCCACGCCATTCCACTCTCGTCTCCTCCCCACTCCCTCGCCCCGGGCACACTCGCTGTTCACCATGCTCCCTCCATAGCACACACTCTTAGCTGCTTCAACACTGCTTCCCACCCTGTCTGTGTCATCTCAGGCGTGAAGAAGGTACATGCAGCAGGGGGCGTCAGCTGGTTCCTCTTTGACCTCGCGTGCAGACGCAAGCAGGCTCGCTTCGTACCTCTCTCCCTTTCCCCTCCCCATTCCCACTTGTTGGCCTCACCCCTCCTTCCGCTTCGTTCCCCTCAGGTGTGAAGGCGAAGGTGGAAGCAGCAGGGGGCGTCAGCAAGTTCCTGTTCGACCTCGCCTACAGCCGCAAGCAGGCTCGCATTCGGGCGGGCGTGTCGGTGCAGTTTGCCGCTCCCATCTCTGATGCGATTGTCTTCAACAAGGTGAGCTGGCTGCCTTTCTGCAAACAAACTGCACCGCTATTTCAAATAGGCTTTTCGTTGACTAAAAAAGTCTTCTCTCCGATTTCGGATGCAATTGTGTCCAGCAAGGTGCGCTACCTTTTCCACCGGCATCATGCGGTGCAAGGGGGTGGTGTGAGGGACATCTGCTCTGTCGCTGCGCCTCTGGTTCTAGGCGCCTCAAGGCATCTCCTTAACTGTCATCCTACTTTCTCGTGCATCCCACTCCCCCACTTCCCTCACTCCCCTCCCGTGCTCGCGTGTGCGTTCAGATCAAGGCACGCCTGGGTGGGCGGGTGAAGGCCATCTGCTCCGGTGCTGCGCCTCTAGCCCCCCACGTGGAGGAGTTCCTCAAGATCACCATGTGCTGCCCCGTGGTGCAAGGATACGGTGAGTTCAGAGACTTTTAGCTAAGTAATAGTGTAGGTCTACCATGTGCTGCCCCTCTGCCCCTCAAGATCACCATGTGCTGCCCTGTGGTGCAAGGATACGGTGAGACCAGAAACTTTTAGCTAAGTAACACCATGTGTAGTAGAAGTGCATGTTGCACCCCTGTCTGCCCCTGACGTGGAGGAGGTTTCTGTACTCAGTGGAGGTTGAGTAGTTAGCACTGTCGTGCCCTCGATGCGGACCTAGAGACATGAAGGGTTTTGGTCAGTCCAGACAAACCCAATATGAATCACGATGCACTCGCCAACTCAACCAAACCCTGCTTCATCAACCCTCCACAATCGTGAAAACTCTCTCCCCTCTTCGTCTCACTGTTAACCCCCGGTCTCCTCCGGCTCTCCTCCTGCTCTCCTCCCACCCTCCCACGAACCCCCTCAATCCTATCAGGTCTGACTGAAACCAATGCCAGTGGGTTCATCTCCTATACAACAGGCATCGAGCAAGCAGGAACTGTGGGCCCGCCAATGCCCACCCTCGAAACTCGCCTGGAGTCTGTCCCCGACATGAACTATGATGCGCTCGCCACGCCCGCCCGGGGGGAGATCTGCCTCCGTGGCCCGGTGCTGTTCTCTGGATACTATAAGCGGGAGGACCTGACCAAGGAGGCAGTGGATTCTGAGGGGTGGTTCCACACAGGTAATAAGAGATTATGGGGGGGGGGGGGGGGGGGGGGGGGGGGGGGGGAGAAGGGTGGGGAGTGAAGGGTGTGGGGTGTAATCAGGGCGGAGATCTGCCTCCGCATGCCGGTGCTACTCTCGGGGTATTACATGAGAGAGGATTTGACCGATGAGGCAGTGTATGCTGACAAGGTGCACCCATCCATGCGCATGTGAGCAGAAGACGTGGGCGAGTGGCAGGTCCATGAAGATCATAGACCACAAGAAGTCCCATTGATCTTTTCTGCATGCATCCATGCGCCCATGCGCCCATGCACGCATGCACCCATGCACCCATGCGCCCATGCACCCATGCGCCCATGCACCCATGCACCCACGCGCCCATGCACCCATGCATCCACACAAACCTATCCCTGAGCAGGGGATGTGGGCGAGTGGCAGCCAGACGGGTCGATGAAGATCATCGACCGCAAGAAGAACATCTTCAAGCTGGCCCAGGGCGAGTACGTGGCCGTGGAGAACCTTGAGAACGTCTATGGCAACTGCTCCGCTATAGACATGGTGAGTTGCTCGTTATATAAGTACATATGGCTGAGTATATATGCAAGCATACATGTGTGCATGAGTATATCTGGAGGACGTGTAGAGCTACCACTGGGCAATAGACGTGGTGAGTTGTTCGTTGTTCTGTATGTAGTTGTATCAGCTATCTGTATCAGCAGCCCTCCATTCTAGCATGGTGAGGCTGTGCTGGTGACCGTGGTTATGCCCAACCAGCAATCAGTCTTTGCAGTAACCCATTCCAACACGTTTCACCGCACTCTACCCCTTGGTGCCCCACTCTACCCCGCTCACAGGTGTGGGTGTACCGCAACAGCTTTGAAGCTGTGCTGGTGGCGATGGTAATGCCCAACCAGCCTTGGTTGGTGCTGTGCAATATCCCACTCGACTCATTTCACGGCACGTCACCGCTACTTTTCCCCCCCTGCAGGGGTGGGTGTACGGCAGTGCTGGTGGCGGTGGTGGCGCCCAACCCAGATTATGCAATGCACCACTCCACTGCTTTTCACCGCACTCCACCACATTCCACCCTTGTTAATCTCCCTTGCAGGTTTGGGTGTACGGCAACAGCTTTGAGGCTGTGCTGGTGGCGGTGGTGGTGCCAAACCAGCCTGCCCTCGAAGCGTGGGCCAAGGGTGCTGGTGTGGAGGGCGACTATGCTGCGCTGTGCCAAACGCAGGAGGCGAGGAAGTTCATTCTAGACAAGCTCGTAGAGACGGGCAAGAAGGGGCAGGTGAGAGAGGGGGGAAGGGCCAGGTGAGAGAGGGGGGAAGGGCCAGGTGAGAGAGGGGGGAAGGGCCAGGTGAGAGAGGGGGGCAGGGCAAGGGGAGAGAGGGGGAAGGGCAAGGGGAGAGAGGGGGAAGGGCAAGGGGAGAGAGGGGGAAGGGCAAGGGGAGAGAGGGGGAAGGGCAAGGGGAGAGAGGGGGAAGGGTAAGGGGAGAATGAGACCAGGGGGGATCTGGGCCATGATAGGGTGAAGGCACTGCATCTCGACAGCCAGCCTCCGGTTGAACGCGGAGCGAGACCCTCCTCCCCACCTCTCTCTCTCTCCTCTCCGTCATTCTCTCTTTTCCTCCGTGTATTTGCTGTTCGCCCCGAGCAGCTGAAGGGCTTCGATGTTTTGGTGACGGGGGTCTATTTGGACAGCCTACCCTGCCACTTGAGGAGGATAGATTTCTCACACCCACCTTCGCCCTGCCCTCCCTCCCCTCCTCCCCTCCCTCTCCCCCTTCCTCCCCCCCTCCCTTGCTCTTTTTTGCTTTCACTCTGAGCAGCTCAAGGGCTCCGAGATGGTGAAGGGGGTGTATCTGAGGAGAAGAGACGCCTCATATCCACCTTCCCTCCCTCCCTCCCTCCCCCCTCGCTCCTTGTTCTGATCGCCCCGAGCAGCTCAAGGGCTTCGAGATGGTGAAGGGGGTCTACTTGGACAGCCTTCCCTTTGACGTTGAGAGGGACCTCCTTACGCCCACCTTCAAGAAGAAGCGGCCGCAGCTGCTCAAGCACTACAAGGTATGCTTCAGAGGTTTTAGGTGTGTCCCTCCCTCAAGCACCCCTGTAGTGTACCCCTGAAGTACTCGAAAGTCATCTCGTCCATCTAGGTGCATGAGATGACTTTTGAGTCGGCTCAAAAGTTGCCTGAGCAGCTCTCAAGTTCTACCAGCTATTGCCCGCCTGTTCGAGACTGACTCATGATCTAGGTGGATGAGATGACTTTTGAGTCGGCTCAAAATTTGCCCCAGCCGCTCTCAAGTTCTACCAGCTATTGCCTGCCTGTTCGAGACTGACTCATGATCTAGGTGGGTGAGATGACTTTTGAGTCGGCTCAAAAGTTGCCCCAGCCGCTCTCAAGTTCTACCAGCTATTGCCCGCCTGTTCGAGACTGACTCATGATCTAGGCGCATGAGATGACTTTTGAGTCGGCTCAAAAGTTGCCCCAGCCGCTCTCAAGTTGTACCAGCTATTGCCCCCCTGTTCGAGACTGACTCATGATCTAGGCGCATGAGATGACTTTTGAGTCGGCCTCAAAAGTTGCCCCAGCCGCTCTCAATTTCTACCAGCTATTGCCCGCCTGTTCGAGACTGACTCATGATCTAGGTGCATGAGATGACTTTTGAGTCGGCTCAAAAGTTGCCCCAGCCGCTCTCAATTTCTACCAGCTATTGCCCCCCTGTTCGAGACTGACTCATGATCTAGGCGCATGAGATGACTTTTGAGTCGGCTCAAAAGTTGCCCCAGCCGCTCTCAATTTCTACCAGCTGTTGCCCGCCTGTTCGAGACTGACTCATGATCTAGGCGCATGAGATGACTTTTGGGTCGACTCCCACCCACTCATGTCCTATCAGGCGTTTCCCACCTGCTCGAGACTGCTCATGGCCTAGGGGTGCACGAGGCATGTGATCCTGTGTTTGCTCCTCGTAGGCACTCATCCAACTGTCACTTGCAGCCCTTCCCCCCTGCCGTGGCCATGAGAGCAGGAGCACAGCACATTGATGCCGTGTATGCAGCAAGCACGAGCATTGAGCATTGAGCACCCCCTCTCTTGCTGCTTCCCTCCCTCTTGCTTCTTCCCCCCCTCTTGCTTCTTCCCCCCCCTCTTGCTTCTTCCCCCCCTCTTGCTTCTTCCCTTCCCTCTTGCTTCTTCCCTCCCTCTTGCTTATTCCTTCCCCCATGTCGTTCCCACGAGCAGGAGCACATTGATGCCATGTATGCTGCGCTCAAGGCATGAGCATTGAGCACCCCCCCGCACCAACCGTCCTATCCACCTCCATCTTCCTCGGCTGTGCCAGCCAGAACAGTGGCATGACATGAGTGCTCCTGCATTTCAGCATAGCATTGACCTACGGTAGTACTTTTCCCGGGGATGTGAGCCTATTCCCCTCCTCGTCTGCTCCTCACCCGTTACAGGTCCGCTCCTAGTATTTTTCTGCTGGAATGCACTTACGGTGTGGTAGTCAGAACCTTTGTGTAAAAATTAGATCATTGTAGTTGTTGTGAATGGGGTCAGGCTACAAGTTATGCATACAATAGTCCACCTCTGCCACATATGACCTGATGTTAGAACAAGTGCGCTGCCGTGCAGTGATCGACAACACTAAAATCAGGCAAGTCCTACAACTGATTAGGCACCATTGGCTTTAATAAACGCTGGCTTCAAGAGAACCCTTCTTGAAATGGGGCTGTCACAAAACCACCACCACCACAACCCCTAGCACCTTTCTTGATGAGGACTCCCTATCAGACCAGTCAGCAGACGGGCAGGGTGAGCAGCAACCAGCAGAGCAGAGAGCACCCCAACTCTCGAATTCCCTAGCCCTTCACAAGCGCATCCGCCTCCGCAAATGACCCGACTCATCCTACCAAGAGTCCCATCCCATGATCCCATCAGGCCACCCAGCAGAGTAACACCCGCGTCTTCAGTTCAACCCACCACAGGAGCGAGCATCATGTGCCAGTCCTACTCGACCGCGTCGGGCCATCGGCTGGGCGAACGCCCCTACTTGGACTCATCCGAGGAGGAGCCCCCATCGGAGCGAGCAGGAGAGCGACTGCGAGAGCAACCAGCCGAGGGCCCCCTGGACACCCCCTTGGAGCCCCCTGTAGGCTCCCCTCTGGACCCTACAGGTGAGCCCTTGCTGGTGCCCTCGTCCCTGTCAATATCCACCTCGTCCTCCTCATCCCCTTCCCCTCCCGACCTCCCCCCGCTAGGTGCTTGCCTTGCGTTCTCCCCACTCCTTGTGCTACCCTTCCTGTTGCCCTCCCCACCCCTTGTGCAGCCTTTTCTGTTGTCCACACTCCTGTCATCATAGCTCCTATCGCCTCCAGACGTCGCTCGTTTGGGGCTCCCACTGTTGCTGCTCACACTTCCCCCCCTCTCTCCCTTCCTTTCTTCTCCCTTCCTCTCGCTGCTCCCTCTACTGTCGCCTCCCTTGGGTGCCCCACCTGCTGCTGCTATCTTCCTTCCGATTTCTTCCCCTCCTCCCTTCACTTCCTTCCTACCCCTCCCCTTCTCCTCCTCACTCCTCCCACTCCTCCCACTCCCCGCGCTCCTCCTCTCCCCACTCTTCCCACTATCAACGCTCCTCTCTCTGCTCCTGCCCCTCCGCCTCTCACTCCCCTCACTGTACTCCCCACTCCTTCCACTCCCCTCACTCTCTTGCCTCGCTCTCAGACTGTTTTTCCTGTCCCTCGGGCTGCCCGGCCCACCTCTCGGGCTCATTCTTCTCCTGCCCGGGCTGCCCCTGCCACTTGCGCCGCTGCGCCGGCCCTTGCTGATATCATCATCCTCATCGCTACGCCCCTTGCTGATGTCATCATCTTCATCATCCTCGTCAGATGATCGGCTGCTAGAAGACAACCGAGACCGCCCGCCACCCCCATCCCCTGCGCCTGCCCCCTTCTGACCTCCTGCTTCTTCCCCTCCCCTTTCCCTTCCCCTTCCCCCTCCCCCTCCCCCTCCCCCTCCCCCTCCCCCTCCCCCTCCCCCTCCCCCTCCCCCACCCCCTCCCCTCGCCCCCCCTTCTCTGCCCCTTCCGCTGGCAGTGGAAGGGTCAGAGGCGGAGGGTGAGACTGGTGGTGTGCAGAACGTAAGGGGGAAAAGGGACAAAATGTGCAAGGAAGGCACACAAGGGCGAGTAAACGTCTTGAGTTGCAGCGAGAGTTCCCAATCAGCAAGCGATGAGGGCAACGGAACTTCGAGGTAGCATCCGTGGGGCATGTGTCCCAATGCAATGCAAGCCCCATGGTGCAAGGCACAACAGTGCACGCGTTACAGTGAGTGGCTCCTCTGGTAACAACCCTTATACCTCTTATACTCACACCTCTTATACTCACACACCTCCCTCACCCGACTGCTTGCAAGAGCCCCTTTTGACAGTGCCGCCTTGCCTCCCCCTCTTCTTCATCCTCCCCTTTCACTTCTTCCACCTCCTCCTCCTCACACCCTCCCCTCGCACTCACCAGACTGTTTCGAAGAGCCCCTTTTGACAGTGCCGCCCTTGCCCCCCTGGCTTTCATCCCCCCCCTTTACTTCCTCCACCTCCTCCTCGCTGTCCTCCCCTAGAATCGCCAGCGCCCTCCGCAGCTCGCTTTCCCGCTCCTGAGCCACAGGATTGGAAGGCAGAAAAGGATAGACGGCAGAGAGAGGCAGGTATGCGTGAAGGAGCATACTAACGGCGCACTGAGTACATAGCGGCGTATTTTAAGGAGCGTGCTAAACAGTATATGTTAAACAGTGCACTCAGGAGCACTCAAGAGCGTACCTTGATCAGTCTCTTGGCATGTGCCAGCTTGGTTAGGTTATCCTCCCCCTCCACATTCTCTAACTGGATCGATTACAGGAAGACAAGAATTCAAGGACGCATGGGATAGCACGAGGAAAATGAGGCTCTTCTGGAAGGAAGGAAGAAAAAGAAAAACAAGGAAAAAGAAAAACAAGGACAAATAAAAAAAACAGCTGGATACATCACAGGGGCAGTGTGGTTGCATGGGAGAGCAACGGGCCGAAATGTGTAGAATGCGAGCAGCAGGGAAGGAGAAAACCGCTATGATCTCACCTTGAGAATATCCACAAGGGGCGGCAGGCTGGCCACTCGCCTCAACCACCCCACCACACCATCCCCCTCCCCTCCCCCCCCGCTTCCAGGGCCCCCTCCAGCGGTCACCCCTGCAACATTCCCGTAATAACTCGCTCCAGCCTCCCCCCCTGCTCCTGCTGCTGTCACACCAGCAGCACCAGCAGCACTGGCAGCAGCAGCAGCAGCAGCAGCGGCAGCGGCCCCACTTTTCCCTGCTGTTCTTGCTGCAGCAGGTGCCTTCTTGGCATCCTTCTCCCCCACAGCACCCAGAATAGCAGGGGGAACAGCCGCAGCAGCAGCAGCAGCGGCGGCGGTGGGCGGTGGGAGTGGGGGAGGGCGGATGAAGTCCAGCACGGGAGGGCCTTCCACCCATATGATGTCGTCTTTAGGGATCTGCGGGGAGGGAGAGGAGTGAGAGGGGAGGGACAGGTGAGAGAGAGATGAGTGGGGAGAGATGAGTGGGGAGAGATGAGTGGGGAGAGAGGGAGAGAGAAGGTATGTTGCGCCTTTTGAGTCGACTCAAAATACACGATGAAGTCGATAACAGGAGGGCCTTCCAGCCATACAATGCCGTCCTTCGGGATCTGCGGCGAGAGAGAGGAGGTGAGTGCGAGGTGAGTGGAGAGAGAGAGAGAGAAGAATCACGAGGCGTCGCAATACACGATGAGGTCCAGCACAGGAGGGCCTTTTACCCATATTATGTCGTCGTCCTTAGGGATCTGATCTGCCGGGAGAGGACAGCGAGAGAGAGAAAATGAGGCGCAGAGCAATAGGTGGGCTGATGGAATCGAAGGGATATTAGTCAAGTCAGCAGGTCGGGTCTATCGTCACCCCCCCTACCCCCCCCACCCCCCCTGCTCCAGTGCTTACCTTCCCCAGCTCTCGTCCGCTGTGTTGAGCCCATACTCCAGCGAGTCGAGGCCCCTCGCAGGGTCAACATCCGTCATAAGTTATAACCGCTCCATCACCCCACTAGGACTGCAGTAACTACCCGCCCCAGTTCTCACCTTCGAGAGATCCACCCACTCCCAGCTCTCGCCCGCCGTGTTGAGCTCATACTCCAGCGAGTAGAGGCCCCTCGCCACATCCCCATCCGTGACCACCGCCTCATAGAGCCCCAACCCACTAGAGCTGCAGTAACTACCCTCCCCAGTTCCTACCTTCGAGAGGTCCACCCACTCCCAGCTCTCGTCCGCCGTGTTGAGCTCATACACCAGCGAGTAGAGGCCCCTCGCCACATCCACATCCGTGACCACCGCCTCATACCACCGCGATACGCCATCCTCCGTCCACCGGGTCTTCACCCTCCGGCCTATCAGCGGGTCTAGCGTCACCCCCCCCACTGCCCCCGCCACTCCTCCCCCCACTGCCCCCCTCCCCGGTCCCCCTGGCGCACCGGCAGACTGAGGAGGCGGAGGGGAGAGGGGGGAATGATGTGGGGGAAGGAGGGGAGGGGCGGACACAAGGTAAAGGGGACGATAGGCTGGGGGAAAGGGGGGAGGGGAAGACGGGAAGAAGGGAGGAGGAAAGGGGCACGCCGGAGGTGGGGGGGAGGAGGAGGAGGTGGCGAAAGGTGAGGAGTAAAAGGCTGCTAGGTGAAAGTGCGGCGCAAGTGCGTGAGTAAATGGAAGGGTACCGGAGAGACACCAGCTCTCTAGGGGCGCCTCAGTTCAAGGAAACTGGGGAGATTGGAGTAAGGCAAGGTGACTAGTAGAGTGGAGCTGTACTCCCATACACCACTCACCCATTTCTGGTAAAACTTTGTACTTTTACTTACTAACCCCGACGTCCTTCCCCTTCCTCCCCCCTCTTCCCAAACCCTACAGCCCCCCAGGCAAAACAGCAAACCTAGCTGCCTGCATCTCCCATCTAGTCTCTCCCCGATCCTCCCCTTCACCCCAAACCTTACCCCCCAGCACTCACCCATCGCCCCCGCCGTCCCTTCCCCTTCCCCCCTCTCCTCCCCGACCCCACAGCCTCCACAGGCGCCACTGCAAACGGCGCCCCCACTCCCGCTCCCCCTCCCCCGACCCCCCCGACCGCCCCCATGCCCTTCCCCAGGGGCGCTGCGGAAAGGGCGGCCATTTTTGGCCGCTTGCGTGAGGAGGCTGGGGGGATGATCTCGGGGGAGGGCGCAACTGGGGGAGGCGCGGGCGCGGGAGGGGGGGGAGGCGGATGGTGCAGGTAGGCCCCTGCATCCCGCGCCTTCTTCCAATCACTGCAGGGATGGGCGGGAAGGGGGAAGGGGGAAGGGGGAAGCAGGAAGGGGGAATGGGGGGCCGGGGGGGAGGGAGGCATATGTTGAGCTGTGATGTGGGAACCGGGAGGATGTTGAATTGAAACGACACCACACAGGGGGTACGTTAGAAACGGCAAGACGTTTGCTGGAAGCGAGGCACCAAATCAGGCGTATGATCTCGTCCTCATGCACGCGCGACAGCAGCACGCGGTGCACCACGCCGCTTGCAATATGCAGAGAAAAACAAGAGGTAATAGCTACCTTGTGCACCCAAACGACGCACCATATAAGGCGGATGTTCTCGTCCTCGTGCACGCGCGACAGCAGCATGCGGTGCACCTCGTCCTGAATGTTGAGCTCCTTGCGCAGATCCGACATCAGCCGCTCCTTCGCCTGCCACCACCATGAGATCAGATCAGAGGGCAGTTAGAGGGTAGCCTTTCTTTAGGCGCCTCAAAAATCAGAGGGCGGGTAAAGGGCAGGTAGAGGGCAGGTAGAGGGCAGGTAGAGGGCAGGTAGATGGCAGGTAGAGGGCAGGTAGAGGGCAGGTAGAGGGCAGTCAGCGGGCAGTCAGCGGGCAGTTAGAGGGTATCTCCTTGCGCAAGTCCGACATCAGCCGCTCCTTCGCCTGCCACCACGCATCCACCATGCACCGCCCATAACCCATGATCCCCATCGCACATCACCAACCAACCATGGCATATCATTCCCCATTACAATCCATGGGTCCATCGGTGCATGGGTGCATGGGCGCATGGGTCCAAGGGTGGATGGTCCACGGCAACAAGGTGCAGTTCGAGACGCCAGCACAGCAGCAGGGCGGTAAATGGAGAACGGCGATGTCGCTTGGAAGACTAAGGAGGTGTGCCTACCCACGTGATCGCCTCTGACTGCGCGCCGAACGCTCTAATCACGCCTAAGTACGCCTCTCGCTCCAGCTGCTGCAGCATCCCCTCCCATGCGCTCCCACCCACACCCCTCCATGCGATAGTAAATACATTTTGAGACGTCTCATCTCAAGGTAATCGCCCTTACCCAGGTGATCGCCTCTGACTGCGCGCCGAACGCTCTGATCACGGCTAAGTACGCCTCTCGCTCCAGCTGCTGCAGCATCCCCTCCCACGCGCTCCCCGCCCCGCCCCCCTCCTCCACCCCCTCCATCCCCGCAGGCCCCCCTCCGCTCCCCCCCACCATCCCCGCGCCCGCGACCCCCGCCGCTGCTGCCGCCGCTACCGCCGCTGCCGCGGCTGTTGTGGAGAGGTTCGAGCCTCGGACGCTGCTGCCTCGGCCGAGCCTCTTGGGCGGGGATGGGTAGGCGTCGTCGTCCGAACCTGTGAAGGAGGGACGGAAAACGTGACGAGAAACGTCAAGAGGAGCGGGAGACAGCGGGCGTGCGAAGCGAAAGGCGCGGAAATAAATCGGCGGGGAAATAACTGGGCGCACGACATCTAACGAGGTCTGCCCGACAGGCCATTGGCGGAAGGTAAGCGCGCGCGAGCGGAGATGCCGACGAAATAGCTCAAGTGAAAGTGAGGCTGAATAAACGCAGGTAGATCAAGTAGAGGGGAAGGTGATAAGGGTATCACTGACCGTCATGCCCTACGGCCGGCACAGGCTTGTTGCCCCCCCGCTGCTTCGCCTGCATCCAACGGCGCGACGCAACGCGAACGCAGCAAGAAGTGAGGTGGGGTGATACGAGAACACCAATTAGGGTTGGGTCGTCGGTATAGGCGCCCGAGAAAATGCGAAAAGAACAGCGGAGCAGCGCTGACAATCGAGCGGCGGACTCACCATTCTCAAAATGGTTTCTCTGGCGAAGGAAACGGAGTATATACAAACGGCAGTGACGAGGTGAGGATGATGGGGGGTGGAAGTTCGGGAAACCTAACCCTAACCCTAAAGCGGTGCTCCAAAACTCCTGTGAGCGGACGTGCTCGGCATAGCAGCGAAAAAATTTGTTTGCTTCTGCTGATTCTTTTTATACATAATATCGAATTTATTGTCGACGCGGACATTGCACTGACCCCGATGTGTCTCTGCGTGGGAGGGACGGTTCGGACCAGGACGTTCGGTTCAACTGCCCGCAGGCATTTTCCCTTGCTTCGTGCGGGTCGCGCTGTCAGGAATGCTTCATTTCTGCGAAACACCTGCCCTTCGTTTTGCGTCGCCTGTATCCAGCTGACCAGTCGTCGTCCAACCAGAATTGCTGCGAGTCGACAGGCTGTAAACACCGCTAACCAAGATTGGTGCTGCGACTGACGAAGATCGTCGGCACAGCTGTCTGACTTTCCTTGCATGCACCTTCTCCCATTCCACAGCCCGTATCATCTCAGTTTTTCCGAATGCTTCTGCCGACAACCTCGTTTCGTACTCGCGCGTTTTCCGCAGACGCCTCCGCGGGAAACTGTAGCGCACCCCCCCGGTGTCCCGCCGGCTATTGCACTTACCTCCGCCTAACTCCCCCACCCCAGCCTCCTCCGCGGCGTGTACGCCACAATTCACTTTATACGGTATAGTCTGGTTCTCAGCGATCCAACGTGGTGAATCGCGAAAGCAGCTCTCAATCACGATTTATCCTAAACGTACGCGCTGCTCCTCCACTCTGCTGAACTAAGGGCGGGCGACATTAGGCTCGAGCTGGGGCAGAAAACTGACCCCAGGACTCAATACCCAACCCCCACTCCCCCCTCCCCCTTCCCCGTTCCCCCCCCGCCTCTTGTTCCCCTCCCCATCCTTCCTGCCCCCTACCCCCCCCCCCCCCCCAAAGCACACTTACCTGTTGCATCTCAGTCAACCGTCCTTTGACATGCCTGAGCCGCTGAATCCACGGCACTGCTTCACTCTCTTTCTTTCACCATTTCCGTAGCTCCTCATTTGGGACGCCATTTGTCACGTGCGTTTCTGCCTAACGACGTCTCTCGCTGGCGTCTCGGCTGCAACTGGTCTATCTTGGACCGCGCTTCTTTCGACCTGCCATTTCCATGCGAGCGTGGCTGCAGTTTCGTTACCGCTGACAGCAACCTCCCGCGCGCCTACGTCTACGCAAGTGACTCGGATAAGTCAAGCTTTGGGGCGCTTCAAAACTACGAATAAGTCACTTGAAGCCATGGGCCCGATTCGAATAAGACGCTTGACGTCGCCGTCGCTCGCAACGCTTTGCTCTAGAACCTCCTCCACTTCAGCTCGCCATACCCCGACCCGCCATAACCCAACCCTCCACAGCCCAGGCCGCCAACACCGACCGCACTCTCCGCTTCTCCTCCTCCTCCTCCCGCTCCTGCTCGCCGCCGCCTGCTCGCTCCCCCCCTGCTCCGCCGCCAAGCCCGCTCCCGCCGCCGCGAAGCCCCCCCGCTCCGCCCTCTCCGCCCATTCCGCGCCCGACCCTTTCGGCAACGCGGAGGTGCTGGGCTTCCCCAAGCCGCCCAACATCATCTCCGACGGCACACCGGCAGCCACCGTCCGTCAACGTCCCGCTGACGGTAACGATGACGGAATTCGTCAGGAGCTCCTTTCCGTCAACCAGCCGACACCCACCGTCTCCGTTCTCACCGTCACCATCCTGACGGTGCTAATGGCGGCAGCGACGGGCCTGGGCTCTCTGCCGTTCTTTTTTATGGAGATGGAGGAAGAGTGGGCCGGCGTGTGTAACGGCGTGGCTTGCGGCGTCATGATGGCCGCTAGCTTCGACTTAGTCTCCGAGGGACGGCTGCACGACAGCGGATCTGGCGGCGCGTGCGTGGTGGTGGGGATTATTCTGGGCGGGCTGTTTATCGTTGTGAGTCAGCGGATTCTGGAGCAGTTTGGCGATGTTAAAATGATGGACTTAAAGGGCGCATCCGCTAACCGCGTTGTTCTCATCCTCGTTATAATGACCCTCCACTCCTTCGGCGAAGGCTCGGGCGTCGGCGTCTCCTTCGCCGGCCCTCGCGGGCTGTCGCAGGGGCTGCTGGTAACCATCGCCATTGCCGTGCACAACGTCCCGGAGGGCCTCGCGATGACGCTCGTGATGGTCGCACGCGGCGTGCGACCGCGCAACGCCATGCTGTGGAGCGTCTTCACGAGCCTCCCGCAGCCGCTAGTCGCCGTCCCCGCGTTCCTCGGCGCCAACACCTTCACGCAATTCCTACCCCTCTGCATGGGCTTCGCGGCGGGCTGCATGATATGGATCGTCTTCGGGGAGGTCCTCCCGGAGTGCATCAAAGAGGGCGCCAACTCCTCTCACGTGGCCTCCGCTGCGACGCTCTCCGTCGCTTTCATGGAGGCGCTCGGCGCGTTTCTAGAAGGCGCGGACTCCCCTGCCAGCTGGCACCGCCTGGTTCCCATCGCCTGGGCGCTGCTGTTCTTTCTGGGCCCTCTGTTCGGCTCCATCCTCCCCCTCCTCCTGTCCCACTCTCTTCCCGCCCCCGTCTCGCCCCCTCTGCTCTCTGGCTTGGCGGGGGGGTCGCTTTTAGGCCTGGCGCTGTGGCAGCCGGTGCAGCTGCTGGTGACGGGGCAGATGGAGTTACTCCCCCTGCTGTCGGTGTTCTATGTCGGCTGTGTGCTGCACTATTTCTGTGCTTCCATGGGGGGGAGTCTGGCTCCTGGGAGTGTGTTAGGGGCGCAGCAGAAGGTCCATGGCGGTTTCAGTGACGTGCAGTGTAGTCAAGGGATGCAGCAGCGGGCTGGGGAAGCGGAAGAGATGGAGGTTCTCCGAGCGTGGAAGCCGAGCCTGCAGCTCAGCTACGGTATCCGAGCCTCGGTGCTGGTCTGCATTGCTGTGTCTGGGCATGCTTTTGCCGAGGGGCTCCTGCTGGGGCAAAAAGCAGCACCAGGAGGGGGGCTAGGGGGGGATAGAGGAGGAAGAGGAGGAGGGGGAGTAGGGGAGATTGGGATGCGCATGCTGCTTCCCGCAGCCATTCATGGCGTGCCACGTGGCGTAGCTGCAGCAGCCGCTGCGCTGGGTTCATTCTCCATCACTCGATCCACTCCAGAGGTCCCCCTAGCCGCAGTCCCCCTAGCACTCGCATCTGCTGCTGCAGCCGGGCTGGCTGGGCCCATCGGTGCTGTGGCCTCTTTCCTCTTCTTCCATAGCTTCGGGGCTGGGTTGCTGAACTGGCTTGTGCTGGCTTGTGGCTTGCTGGCCCCTGCAGGGCTAGATCAGCTGCTGCCTAGAGGCCTGTGGGTTGCTGGAGGGAGAGGAGGTGTAGGTGGAAAGGGAGGAGGGGAATGGGGATGGAGTGTTTTGGATAGGCGACGAGTGGCTTTGGGGGCGGTCTTGGGGTTGGTGCTCGTGGTGGCGAGCCTGATGGGGAAGAGGTCGATATGTGCGCATACAAGTTACTGTAATGCGGCTCCTGCAGCGTTGACATGAGTTGGTGCAGAGACTCATGCCATGGCTGTTGTTGACATGTCCCCAAGCACCTCCCTGCCCCGGCTGATCATTGCTGTAGATTGTGCTACCCGGTTCTGCATAGTAGGTGTCAGCTTGTTGTTTATATGGCTTGTTAATACAAAATAGTTTAATGAGGCTAATCATTGTAACTAATGATCACTCATGAGTAAATGGATGTCTGTAAATCACTATTTTTCGTAAATACTATCGCTGTCATCTGTACAGAAATATTCGAAGCAGATTGTATTTCGGCTATTCGCTGATGTCAGGGGGCAGGGCATTCCCTGAGTCCTCCTGACAGCCGCCGCGTTTCGGAGTCCCCCCCCCCCTTCTGTCATTCTAGACTTGGCCGATTTTTTCCATCCACGGTCTGAAGTGAGCGCTCCTGATAGAAGTAGTTCCCGCCTCGCGCTTGTTCCAGACATTCGAGACGCTTCGCTGTCCCCCTTCCGCCGCCAGACCCGTCGCATCGCATGGCTCGAAGCCTGTGTCCGCTTGCTGAAGTGCTAGAGCGTTCACGGAGAACGCTCAGCATGCAAGGCACGTTTGAGATTCAGGATGCCTGTAGAAAGCAATTGACTGAAGAAACTTTCTGGCTGCTTCTGCCCAGACTTTCCAATAGCGGCTACTTGAACTTTAATATTCCGTCTCCTAGTCGGAAACTTTCACATTCCTCAGGAATTAAGTTTATTCTCCGAAGAGATAGCCATAGAGAGTAAGGCTTCTCACGAGGCCAGCTGGTAGTGGGGTCCTGAATCAAGTGATTTTTGAGTCGACTCAAGAGTCCTGAATCATGGCTTCCGCTTCGTCCCAGGCTGGCTACTTAGCGAAGCAGGGTCTGAGTCTCTTATACAGCGCCACTGTAACGGGGGTGAACGCGGTGTCGACAGGAATCAGTATGGCGTACAAGCACTGCGCGGATCTGCACGAACGGGAGAAAATCGAATCTATGCGCAAGGCAGGAAAGCGACCAGAGGATGTCATCGTCGCAGGTGCGACGCTGCATCCAGTCATCTTGATGGCTTTTAGCCGTCGCCGTCACTAGCCTTGCGTTTTGCGGATTCCAGACATTCTTATGCCTTATTTAGTCTGCACACGCTAAGTCTTCCGGAGCTCCTACCTGTCTCCTCTCTCGCAGCCCTTCAGCGACTGCTTCACCTGGAAATGGCGGGTTACCACCACGAAGTCGCTGCTGTTTCGCAAAAGATCGCGACCAAGCTGGTATGGTAACCGCAGCCTTCTGCGTCAGCACATTCCTCCTTGTACTAGTAACCGCTTTTCGCGATGATAGGCTGATGGCCTTATTCCACGTTCTACGCATCTGTCAAGTTTACGTTAAAGCGTGGCGTTTGACGCTTGAACTAGTATCAACAGTCCAGTAGTCTCTTGCTGACACTGAACTGAAACTCTCCACACAGTCTGATTGTTTCGCTGCCTGGTGTTTCACCATAGCTTTCCACACGATCTGAGTGTTTCACTGACTGGTGTTTCAGGGCACAGCGGACGACAGGAGCAGCGTGGAGCATCAGACGCTGCAGGCACTCAGCCAGACGCTCATAGAAGCATGTCGTCAGCATGGCATGGACGTGACGTCATCTGTGAAAGGCGGAAGGCTGGGATTCCAGGGCCTGGAAGACTTTTTGAATTCCTCGCGGATGGGAACTGACCACTACGATCGCGACAAGCTGGTTACTGACCTGTATTTCGCCTTCCTGTTCGCTCAAGATGTAAGTGGCCTACCATGGTTCATGCTTCTACGAATCTAGCTGGAAGGATTTTATAAATCTGATTTATCTTATATGATTCTCTTTCAGGACGCTCAAGGCAGCATGCAACGCATTGAAGCAGCAATTAACGAAGCAGTGGAAAGGCTTATATCAGGACCAACCCGAGACTGCCTGTCGCCTTTATCCCCCTTGAGCCCATCGTCTGCCGACCATCTCTCTCCTTGTAAAAGCGGAGGAGGGTTCTCCTCTGGCTGCGTCCGTGCTGCTTCTGTCAACGACCTCCCTGCTTATGCGCGCCCAGACGCCTTCAAACTGCCTCAGGCCCCTCCCTCAGCTACTTCTTATTCTTCCAGCAGCAGCAGAGGCGGTGCCAGCAGCAGCAGCAGTGGGTCCAAATGGGGCGCATCTGCTTCTTCAGTGAGCAGGAAGGCAGGAAACAAGCCATCTCCTGTTGTGGCAACTGGCACAGATGATGATAAGACGTGAGTGACTTAAGTGACAGCTCTTGCATCTTGCAGTCGATCTGCATAGGCACGAATGTTAGGTGCACTCTGGACAGATCAGTTCCTTGTTCTTCCTGACGTGTTCATGTGTGATTGGCAGGTCTGACGGGCTGATGGTGCTGAAGCGGCTGGCATGCTGCATGGCGAGAGCAGCAGCAGAGGCAGAGGCGCGCAGGCAGAGGGGGCTGCAGGACGCACAGGAGGTGGTGAGGCGGGAGCAGGAGAAGGCGAGTCGATCAGTAGCCATGGCCGAGGGAACGAGTGGGGGTGTGCCCATGGGTGGGGGCAGGCCCATTCCATCAGCACAAGGCGGTCACAGCGCTGCGGGTGGTGCATGGGGCACTGCCTCGGCTAACAGTGCTTTCTCTGGTGGTGCTCCTGGTGTGGCTGGTGCAAGGAGTGTGGCCGGCCCATCTGCTGGCAGTTCTGCTGCTGCTGTGTCCAACTGGAAGGGAGGCAACTGCAGCGCCATGCCTGTGGATGCGGCTGTTGGTGCTTATAACAGGGGAATGGTGACGGGGGAGCTGGTGGTTATGTGGCGTCTGGTGGGGCTGGGAAAGGCAGTGGAGGGGGGTGGGGAGGGAAGAGTGGTGGGGGTTGGTGATAGTGCTGGAGTGGATTGGGGGGGAGGGATGAAGGAAGAGGAAGAGGGGGGGGGGGGCGGAGGGGAGAGGAGGGAAGGGGTAGCTGTAACATGAGGGGCCAGTTGGTGTAAATTGGTCGGTGAAGCTAAAGAGACTGGGACAGTTGAGAGGAGAGCACCCATGCTTGCTTAGGCAGGCAGATCAATAAGCAGGTGTGCTTCCAAGGGTAGAACAAAAATCTGGAATGGAGTATATATGGTTGCATGAGCAAAGAATGAATGTACATGAGCAACATTGCTGCCATTCGTGTATCTGACAGCTAGTGCATGTGCATCTACAATGCTGCTCCTATGCATGCTACAGTCACACCATGGCACACCATCTAGAGCACACGTTCTCAGCTCAAAAGAGACCTGAAAATAGTTCCCAGGACCGCCTCAAGGGACCTGTCGCTCCTTATCAAGGCACGTGCCCCCTGATCCCCATGAGTGGCACACATAAGTTGAGTGACAGGGCTGTAGAAGCAGGAGGAGACTCACCTATCCCTGCAATCTACAACCCCTTCCACATTTATTTTGTTAACTGCTTATCGAAGCCCCCTCCTTCCTGATGTAGTGTAATTGTCCGTGTAGGTTGGGCAGGTCAGCATATGGCCTGCGGGATCCAGCGGCGGTAGATCTGCCCGCGGAGGGCGCCCTGGGGGAACGCCTGCGTGTTGATCTGCACGTAGAAGCGCCCGGGGTTCTGGTCGATCCTCTGCACCAGGTCGTAGATCGACGACCCCGTTTGCATCGTCCCCACGCTCTCACTGTGCTAACGCCGCCGCCGCCGCCGCCGCCGCCGGCGGTCACGCTTGACGCGTTCGCCGCTTTAATCCCGTTGGACGGGGCGCGAGTGAACGCCGAATCCGGCGGCGTGACCCCGCTATTGCTCGCAGTGGAGCCGCCGCCGCCGCCGCCGCCGCCGCCGCCGCCCCCGTTATTGTCAACTATCCCGAGGCTGATGTACTTGTTGTCGGCGTCGGTGATCCACGTGTCGACCTTCAATTCGTTGGGGTCGTCGATGGTCCAGGGGTTGGGGAGGCGCCAGACAAGCTCGCCGTTGCTGCCGCGGCGGCCGTCGTAGAGCGTCTGGCCGGTTGGCGGCAGCGGCGCGGTGAGCGACTCGATGTCGAAATGGAGCTTTATGTTGATCTTGCTGCCTTGCCTGCGAAACGTCGCAGAAGTTAGCAAGACGTCGCAAAACGTCGCCAAGTCCAGAGATGGTCGTTAGTAAAACCACGGGTTGCGAAACGCCCGTGATTGCTGCACGTGACTGCAACGTGACTCGTTAAAAGCAGAAGGTTCTCACTGCGAAACGATCTGAATAAAAGCTGGAAGCACTCACTGGAAGACGAGGATGCGGAAGTAGCCAACCGCGCGGAATCACCCCCGAGATTGGAGCTGAGGACTTTGTTGGGCTTTAAGTTAGCGATCAGCGTGCCTGCAGGGGGAGAGGTGACGGGCAGGAGAGGGGGGGAGAGAGAAAGGAGAGGGTGGGGCAGAGGGAAAGGAGTAATGAAAATCGCCGGCATGTATGGATGGCGGCCGAGTGATGCATGGACGGGCACTTGGGGCTTGAGGACATGGCACAGGGGGGCATAGGGAGAAGAGGACAAGGGGACATGGGGGCATGGTGACATGGGGGCATGGTGACATGGGGGCATGGTGACATGGGGGCATGGTGACATGGGGGCATGGTGACATGGGGGCATGGTGACATGGGGGCATGGTGACATGGGGGCATGGTGACATGGGGGCATGGGGACATGGGGGCATGGGGACATGAGGACATGGGGACATGGGAACATGAGGACATGGGGACATGAGGACATGGGGACATGGGGACATGGGGGCATGGGGGCATGGGGGCATGGGGACATGAGGACACGAGGGATGCGGCAGCGCGTTTAGGCCATGGGGGAGGCTTGCTTTCGAGCGTGGTGGGAGTGAAAGTCATAGCGCTTCAATTCTGCTTTTGAGTCATGAGTCCCTTCAAAAGCAGTTTACGGCGGGGTAGGAGGGAGGCGGAAGCGTGAGATCGAAAGAGAGTGACTGGCAGATTATTCGAGTCCGGCGACGAGGCGCGGGGCATAGAGCGAATCGATCCGATACACGCGAGAAGACCGATTAGAAGTTGAGGAGACGACCGACTAGGCGTGCGACAAGAAGCGTGCGACAAGAGGCGTGCGACAGGAAAAAGAGGCTCACATCGAGGGACCCCAGGGAAGGGGACTTGAGCTGTTGCCGTTAACGACGATGCTAGTACGAGCAAGGTTGACAGTAGCACCGCTAACGCCGTTATATGCGCCATTGGCTTGCACTACGCGAGCTGAGGATGCGACAGTGCCTTAGAGATCCGCGGGGTGAAGGTCTAGACGGTGCGCTTCGTGTCTATGCGGAATGAGATTGCTCTGTCAAGTCGATTAATTCTAGCCAGTTACAAGTCGAACAAGTTTATGTTTCGTCAAACAAGTTTGGGTGGATTGCGGGCCCTCGAAAGGCCCAGTGCTCAAGAAAGATATGGCAAACCGACGAGTCTGCCGCGTCGACAAGCCTAATACGGCCGCCACGCGTCTACCGACAAGTCGGCCGACGAAGGTAGGAAGGAAGAGGCCACCCACTGGAAGAAGTTGACTGACGCAGCAATGGCGCGGGCGACGACGGTTGTGGGGAAGGCTACGTGATACTGAAATCTGGAGTGGAGTGGAGTGGAGATGAGAGGAGTGGAATGCCTGGCCCATTCCCCCAACACAACCGCCAGCAGCCAGCAGCAGCCAGTGAGGCAACCTGACCAAGGGGAGGGGTGAAGCATTTGTGTTGAAATGTCGGAGAGGGGGAGAGGCATTTTCCGAGCCAAGGCGCGCCAAATTGCCCTCCATCAGGTCGCGTTCCGAGTCGCGCCGCCATTCCGAGCACGACGGGGCTCGCTGAGGCCCCGACCGAGTTCCAAAATTTTGATACAAATTCGCTCGTTACTATCGTCAGATAATCCGAAAAATCCAGAGTGCGAACAAATGTGCACACCCACTTAGACACTACGACAGGTTCATATGATAAATGAGAAATATGAGGACAGAATCTACAATGCTTTCCTTCTATCCATGGTCCACTCGTGCTCGTAGTTATGAATATAGTACATGTAATAATTTAAAATGGTGCAGAAGACTAAGTACACAATCTGCAGACACAACTTGTACTTGAAGTAGAAAATAATACTGAAAGTACCTCCCAGTAGCAGTTAGTTAACAAGTTGTAGCACTAGAATCAGTATTACACCCTTGTGATACTTCAAGACTTGAGCAGGATCTTTGATGGAATGGTAGACTAGTAAGAACAGCGGAAATCTTAGAACTTCTTGTTAGATTGTCGAGAGAATGATGGGGCTAAGGGAAAGCAGCGATGGTTATAAAGGTAGGACTGTATCCTCTGAGAACTGACCTAACTAAGGCTATAACAAATATAAATACCTAGCCTATATAATTATATTTGTTAACACGCCCCCTAGCCGAGAGAGTGCCAGTTCAATAACAAAGAAAAATACATCAGGGCAGCACTACTAGTCTGACCTCAGGTGAGTCTAATAAGGAAACTGAGGGCAGCACTACAAATCTGACCATTGAAACAAGAGACCACAAGGCCAATCAGCAAGTGTAGCAAGACAAGCAGGTATAGAACAACAAGTACATGTCGAGAAGAAAAACTCAACAAGTGTTTGATAGAGAGAGAGAACAATGGTATATACCTAAGAGTGTTGTACCCTCTAAATAGGTGACCCTATACAGTCTATACAAATATGAGTTATACATATATTTGACACACCCCCTAGACTGCATAGGGGCAAATCCTGAACAAGCAGCTCAGGGCGGCACTACTAGTCCAGCCACTGAGACAAGGGTCTAAAGACCAGTCAAAGGAGTACAGGCAAGACAAGAACAAGACAAGGGCGGCACTACTAGTCCAGCCACTGGGACAGGACACAAGTCCAGTCTGAGTACATATATAGATATATATAGGACAGCACAAAGTCAAGGTCCTAGCAAGTGAGAGGCTACAGGAACTAGACCGAGCTGTACACAGTGCCGCTGATGATCTTTAGGCGCAAGCGCCTTCGTAAAGATATCAGTTGTGTTGGCACCAGAGGCCAAGTGAACTACGCGGGCCTGGCGGCGCTGCTGTAGCTCGCGCAGGAGGAAGTACCGCAGCTGGATGTGCTTCGCTCTGCCTCAGTCGAGGCTCCTGACACAGGAGTATCATGGCCCTGTTGTCAGCGTACAGGACCGGGGCAGAGCTAGGCCGCTCACCTAAGTCTGTGAGCAAGAAGGTCAGCCAGCGGAGCTCCTGTGCCGCCATGGCACCAGCGTAGATCTCAGCCTCACAGCTCGACTGAGCAACAGACGACGGAGCGAGTGGATCTCCAAGATAGCACCCGAACCAAGGCTAAACAGTACCCTGGACGACCTGAGCTCTCAGAGTCGTCTGCCCAAGAAGCGTCTGTGTGCCAGTGAGGACCACTGGGCCTGCTCCCTCCTAACACTAACCCCATGCCTGATGTACTTGCTAGATATCGCAAAACCCTCTTAGCGCCGACCAGTGCTGTGGTCGTGTGTCTGCCCAGTGGCCACAAAGCGAGCCAGGATGCTGAGAGGGTATGCGAGATCTGGGCGAGTGCAGGATCATCAGGTACATGAGGCAACCCACCAGCTCTGCGTAGGGGCCGCTGTGCTCTACTAGACTCCTCAGGACACAGGAGCGGAAGCCGTGGTCTACAGGTAGAGGTGTGGGCTGTGCAGAGGAGAACTTGAAGACCGAACCTCTGAAGGACCTGACGCACCAAGTGTGACTGGGTCAGAGTGATGGTGCGTGCTGCTCTGTCTCTAGAGATCTGCAGGGCCAAGATAGCGACGCAGGCTCTCCAAGGTCAGTGCAGGTGTGTCTCTTCAGCAGCTCAGTCTTCACAGAGGCCAGTGCGTCCTGTCAGGAGTAGCGAAGACCAGGTCGTCTACGTAGACAAGGATGTAGAACGGAGTCTGGCCGGAACGCACAAACAGTGAAGGGTCAGCAGGAGGACGGAAAGAACTGCAGGTCTGCTAACGTGGCACGTAGCGTGTCGTGCCACTCAGCGGGGAGCCTGACGCAGGCCGTAGACCGGCGCCTGAGAAGACCACTGGGTCCCAGAGGGAAGGTACCAGTGAAGCCCTGTGGTCGGCGCAGGT